AACGAAAGAGGCCAGGTAGTCGGCCAAGGAATGTGAATCGGTATGAGAGCTAGTTGTTAAGGAAGGGTGAAAAAGAGTCAAGGCCGGCGCTATATGTGTATTCAGTTACCACTTTTAAAATTTAGCTAACTATGAGAAAAATATAGAGTTGATATTGAGTATAATCTGATCGCAATGTAATTAAATGTATACATTTTCAAATATTTAAATGGTTAATGATATACCTACGTTTTACATATTCTGGGAAACATAAATTAAATAATATAGGCCAGCAAGAATACAAAATATTCTTCGCTTTACCCCCCAAATAACCCTAAATAATTTCTGGTAAAAATATATACCTTAATATGTAAGACATAAAGCAGACTTGAAACAATAAATTATTATTTAAATTATCCATATAATTTATCCGTATTAAATATTTTTATTTCGCTCTATCATAATGGTATTTTAGTGATCATTTATGAGTATCAAATATAAATGTTTAATATTAGAAATATGGTAATATTTCATTCAAAGACGATGTGGGTTACCAAATGTTAAATTTGTATTCAATATATTTTGGTTTAACATCAGAGTTGAATGCCCTCGTATTATTTTTCTTTTTATTTATAAATATTCCCCCATCTTAAGTGCTCCACAGTAAAATCTGTTCTCGTCGCAACTCACAATCAAAGTCGAACCCCCAGTTGATGACCAATAAAGTTGTCAACGCCGATAAAGTTATTAACATCGCTTAGATTAATTAATTTAATTTTCGTTGACCAATTTACACAGCTAATTAAAAGTGCCCCGGTCCCCCGATGGGACGGTCTCTTTCAAGTCACTAGAAGAGAATGCGTGTTTTCGGAATGCCTTAATGGGGAATGAAAATTGGAATGGGATTGGGAATGCGACCCTGGCTATTAGTTTCTATTACGAGCGCCGCACTTTGACTAATTGCCCATGGTCAGTGCCTGGCCACGAACGATCCGCGGAAACTGATTTACAAGTGTGTACAGAGAAAAATGCACAATCAGTCGCTGCAACAAAAGCCATACAAATTAATATAAATGGAATGGTACGTTATGCGTACTTCGTCATTTTATCAGTGATTTATGGATGGCTGTTTTGAAAACAAGCCATCATCCCAGCCAGATGCAATTTGCAATCGGGAAAAATACGCAAACTTCTCATAAAATGTCAATCAATACAAGGAAATTGAAGTGACGAAGAAGTACTCTTGCAATGATCAATACATTTATTTATGGTACTAAAACAAAGGGTTAATCATATTAAAGAGTAGAGACTTTTAATTCAAATTATTTCTTATACATAAGCTTTTAAGTATATTCAATGATACTTAAAAATATACAACACCAAATTAAAGTATTCACATAAAAGAAAACAACTATTGAAAACAAACAATTTAATTTTTATTACTCTCAGTGATCAGCCATTTCTTTTATATTTAATATTTATTATTCAGTATAAGAGATTGTATGGAATTCTGAAGGGAACAATTTAAGTACTTTAACCAAAACAATTTTACTTATAAAAATTACAATACATACTCCTAACTAGAGTATTTTTGGCACTAAAGGAAGCTCCCATCATCATCAATTGCAGCACATCGTCAATCGGCAATCGTCAGTTGGCAATCAGAGCGAAGTTTGCTCTTTTGACTCCAGTGTTCTTTTGCCGTATTATCACTTCGGTAGTGGGGCTTATCGGGAGTCCAGTCTGTCGATTGTAGGAGTAGTACTAAAGACTGAAAGTAGGAGGCGGAGTGGGTGTGGAATCAGCAATCGGCATCCGACAACCAGCATGTTGAGCTGCGCACAGCTGCTCTTCTTCGGCGGCTGATAAGAGTGAAAGGCGAGCTGAGGAAATGTCACTTTGGCATTGTTTTATGCAGTGCATACAAAATATATGACAAATCTTCGTATACCCATACAATTGAATAAAATGGGGAGAAAAAAAAGCGGGGGAAAAGAGCGCCACACAAAGTCCGAACGCGCCTTTTCCTGCCTTGCCAAAGTTTGCGATAAAAAAGGGGAAAAAACTTCTCGAATGCGTCGAATGCATACTAAAGATATGGCCAAGCCGATATGCATAGAAAAGAATAAAGCCAACTAAATGGGAGAAAGGGGGAAGGAAGTACGGAGAAAAAGAGAGGCAAACAAAGCCAAGAAAGAACAGAAGAAACTTTAGTCTTAAAAGGCGACCAGACGAAACGGCGTCGCCGGCATTTTGATAAACCATTGAAAATGTTAGAACAAAAAAAAATTATTAAACGAAGCTTTTTCCAATACGGAACGGAAATGCGGCACAGAAGCAGCAAAGTAAAAACCCAAGAATAAACGCCGCCTTCTATGGTTGTGTGGAAGCTATAGAAAGCAATAGAAACATTTGAATGATTATGAAAATACACCACAAATGGCACACTTAGGGGTCTATTAAATTGTTATATGTATTCCGATTAGATAAGCATAAGATTGCAAATAATTTAATTGTATTTATAAGACTTCCCTTGCGATTAAATTAGTGATTAATCCACGTGATAAGGGATTGTAAACAAAGTAGAGCGTAAAAGGATTAACTACCAATGATTATGTAATAGTTCTTGCAAATATAATAATCTGCTTCAATGCATAGGAATTTGTTCATAATACCTTGTTTAAGTAAACATACTTCTAATTGCATGTTTTTTGTAGAGCCTGATTTTACCTCCTAGATATTTCTGTTTTACTCCCCCTTAATTACCCCCTTCTTATTCCCATGTTCCTATAATCTTACAATGATAAGATAGGGGCTGACACAATAGTCCCTCAATCATAATTTTGATATGTTAGCCCCGAATGGATTTCCAAATGTATGTATTAGAAGAACTTTTGTCTCCCATTCCTCGATCACGTTTTTAAAACCCCCAATCATGATCCGATAATCACAACAAATTACACGACACAGCCCAGACATGGGAACATTGAGAGCACAGCCAATAAAGTTATCAAACCACTTGTGACGGTCGCCAGACACAAAATCAAAAAATAAAATCCATTTCAAATGCGGCCGAACAACACGTCGATTTCCGAGAATCCCCAAAAAACACCAAACATAAAAACATGAGAAGCGATGCGCGAGACACGACAAATTTTCATCGCATTTATATCCGAAATTAAAAAATTATGCCTGGCGCCAGACGAAAGAACCCATCCAAAATAATACAATTTATAGACTCATGAATGGCGTGTCAATTTGGTAATTGGAAACTAAAACCGGGGAGTAGCCAAAAACTTATAGATCGTCCAGAGATGGCACGTTCCGTCTTTGAGTTTGGCGCAAAGTAAAGAAAGATAGCGATTGGCGGTGATTTGCATAATTGCGTGATTCGCATACCGCAAAATTTGCATGTGTGCCAGTATGTGAAATTCACTGTGAATCATCTTTATGATGGGCTAGATGGAAGCCCAGACAACTCTTAGACCGATGAGTCCATCCATGGTAATTTAGTCTTCAATGATACAATGAGTCAAGTGCTGTTCGCTTGTCGAGTGTTCTATTATTTCATTCGGAAAAAAAGAATTAACGCAATCAAACGATTCCCAAACCGATTTTGGAACATTGAACTGGACCAGCATGCAACAATTTGTGGTACGTTTGGAGAGACCGTAAACCTATTAAATCCCTAGTACGAGGCAAAGGGAACAACCTGTTTTCAAGCCACCAACGCAAGGGAATCTGAAGGGAGGAGGGATATAAATCTGTTCACAAAGAAACAAAAGAAAAACCACTTTAATTAAATAAGTTGAACTAAAAATACTATATATGAAAGATGGAGGAACATATTAAAAAAATAAATATCTACCAATCTGATCGTATCCAAGTGCCTAAGTCTTATTTTATCTCCCATATTCGCATTCATCACATTAATAATATTTTATTCCTGCTATGTGAAGGAATTTCTCAACTGTGCGTTTGAGTTGAACATCCGTGAGGTTGCAAGTCAGTTTGTTTTGGGAAATTTAAATTCCCAACCAGGAAGCTCTTATAAGTTTTTTAACAACAATAACGATAACAACTCGTTTTTTACAATTTTATAGAATATTTACTTTAAAAATTCCGATTAAAATAAATTGACAACAATAAAACAACACAAAAACTTCCAGGCATATTTAAATAATTGGATTGAATTAAACTAACCGAAACCAAACGTTTAATATCTTAGAAAACCATTTGATTCAATTTATGTTGTGTTTTAACTGTATAGAAATATTTCCGAAATTCTTTCTCTATTAGATATAACGCTTGGAAATTCCAGGAAATAAAAGATAATTTTTTGTTCTTTTTGGGTAATGCCCTAATGCTGACTAAATGAGCAAATCAAAATACTGGGAAATTATCATCGCAACTCGAACGTCGCACACTGGGATAAGTCCCACATAAAAAAGGAGAAAAATGTAAGTTGGTAAAAATGTATTAAATTAAGTCCCACATCTCAAGCAATTAAATAGTTCTCTTAGGTCTTTGCGTTACTAAATTTAAAATAATAAAATGTATAATATTTTCTACTGAAGATTACAGTTTTTAGAAATAAAATGAAGTTAGAAACATAAAGAAATAACTTATATTGACAAAATTCTGTATTAAAATTAAATGTATTAAAAACCCATGTTGGTGTTTTTATGAGTACAGCTTTGTTAGATTTTCAACTTGAATTGATAAAATAAAGAATCGCGTAACATTAGCTTCTAAAACTGTTTATAAAAAAAAATGTACAAAAAAATAGGCAGCACTGCTATTGGCAGTACCTTAACAAATAGTTTTAGTATTTGTTTTAAGAGAATTCTCAGTTGAGGGCATTACAAAATAATTGAAAATTGAAAACATTGTTTTCTTGCTCTGACCGACCCACTGTGCAGCCCACTGTGCGCCTCTCGAACATGTTCGAAGCAACACCCGCATGCCGATGCACAAGATTCGACGGCAAACCAGTTTTCGGTTGCGCCAGTCATCGACGGGCAGCTCGCGTGGACAGTTCGCCTTCGCTTCGGTCGCTCGTTTGCTTTGCGCGACCAACTCAATTTGAAAATAAAATTTTGGCCAATAACAAAATTTGTTTTTTTAATTGCCAAATCAAAACCACATCGAAATACCGCAAAGAAATGCGACGCGACGCGCTGCCAACTAATTCAATCTAACTTAAAGAAGTATGTGCAATCAACCAAGAAACCAATTACCATCGAAACCAAATTCATGAATTAATATGTCAGCGGAAATATCAAAACAAACGTGTTTGGCATCCCATATGCGAAAGCAACGCGCCAAGAAAATATAAATAATATGCCCAACCGACGTCAGCAAACAAACTGATCCGGCCAATAAACAGCTCGAAAAGTGCCTGAGAATCGGTGCGAATGCCAAAAGATACATTTGTATCTTTCGGATTGCACTTTGCAGTTCAGTTCCCCTTCCCTTCCATTCCCCAAACCCATCCACGCAGTGTTTATTGTGCGAAAGTAAAAACTACCTGCAACAGACTTCAAGACCTGCCCAGACCGAAAAACCCGAAAAAGAAAACCAGTTTTGTGAAAATTATTGACTGCGCTCTTGTGTTGGTTTTAGTTTAGTTTTTGTTTCTTGTTATGCTTCTTTTTTTTTGCTATTTCTTGGCTGCACTCCTTTGTGGATTGCTGAAAGGAAAATGGCAATAATAACAAGCAGAAATTGGCGGCTACCACTGGACAGATAGAGGAGTCATAAATTAAGTGAGCGGAATGGATAGCAGTGATAAGAAATGCAATTGAGGGAGACATAAATTACCCAAAGTGTCAAGGGGTTCTAGCTTAAAAAACTGAGGTGTAAACAAGGGCTTGGCATAAAAGGTTTTGTAGTTTAGTTGTTGTGAAGTTAACGATCATTATTATATTTAAATTAGTCCAGTAAAGATTTTTGAAAATTTAAAATAATGAAAAGACAATATATTTTATCAAATTATTATTGATATATTAATTATTACTCTTTTGGATCAGAGTCGCGATCCACAAGTCAATACACTTGATTGATCATTGCAAACAATGAAATATATCTAAGAAGCTGACGAACTAAGCCAACACAATGTTTGATAAAGACAAATAGAAAACCACAAACCGTATTCATTTTTAAACACACAATGAAGTTAAATGAAACGCAATAAACTTTTGATTTATTTATGAGAAGTACCTAATGGAAACCTCCCTTCGATTCTCCACCCACAGTCAACTCGAAAAGTGCAACATTCCCCCATAAATAATAAGCAAGCGTTGCAGTTAAGTTACCGCTTAAATCAACGATCCAACTATCAAGAAAGGAAAAACCTTCAACCTAGGCTTAGTAAAAAGGAACGCAGAATGCTGATGCACACCACGTCCATTTCCACAACGTCGACGGCCACCATGACCAACTCATCGTCCTCGGCCACGCCCACTCCGGGCTCGACCTCCTCCAACAACAGTGCCACGCTCGAGACGCTCCACCAGCAACAACAGCAGCAGCAGCAGCAGCTGCAACAACAGTTGCAGCAATTGCACACGAATGTGGCCAACAATTCGCGGCCCCCCTCGCGGGCGCCCTCCATCCTGGACAGTCCCACCCTGGCGCGTGTGGAGCGGGCCCGACTGCGGTTGGAGCAGCAGGAGCGCGAGCGGGAACGGGAGCGGAGCAGCCAGCGGGAGGGGGGCGGCAGCATGGGCGGAGGAGGCGGCGGGGGCGGCAGCAGCACTGGCACTGGCAGCACCGCCACAACCATGAATCGTGAGGATAGCCTGGAGCGCAGCATTTTGGATCCCAAGGTGAGCTTCGATAAAACTCTGCACGCAAAGAAACAACACATAAATAAATATACTTTACTAAAAAATCATAACAAAAAAGGTTCAAAACTTTATCACTTTTAAATTAGGATATCCAATTTTTTTTAAATTGATATCAATAAAAAATATTTTAAATTTTTTTTAAATTTTTTCAATTTATTTTTATTTTGGGAATCGAACTTCGGATCTTACACATCTAAGGCCAAAACGACAGGTCTTTTAAGACCAACAAACTTTGCAATAAAACCCAGATTCTAATCAAAATAAGTCTTAGAACATTTTTTCGAAAAATTGTTAATTTTCTTACATTAACAATTAAAGAAGACAAAAAGTCTTTCTTTAAAGAGTCTTTTTGAAAGCAACATTCTTATTTTAAGAACCTGAGATTCAATTTCTTTCAATTAAGACCAAGTAAGTCTTAGGTAAAGCATTTTGTTCTTTAATTTGTAACGTGCTTTTCCCTCAGTGTGCCGAGTCTACACACTCGTAGGATATAAATTACAATTAGGAGGGACGCGAAGGGGGGATCGAGGAAAGCCTACGTGATAATGACGGCCCAAGTAACCGAGTTCATTATCGCGGCGACTCATCTGCGAGAGCATCTCGACAATCTGGTCGAAGCATATATTTTTATCTTTTAATTTATTGAAATTTTTCGTCAAATAATTCTTGGATACCTTGAGAGCTTGATAAATGTCGGGCTATAGAAATTTGTTAAATGTTCCGAGCACCGCCTTCTCAGAGCTTTCATCATACAAAATCGAATTCTTTAAAATGGCTGGAGAGAATCCACAGAAATTCTTGACATGCTACATTCCAAAAGCTTGCATCATCCAAAATAAAGTCCCTAAAATGTGATCTCATAGATTACCCCAGTTCCAAATGACTTGTTTTTACATTTATTGGAAAAAAGAAACACTTTAAATTGGGTGTTTCAAGAAAATTAAGTGCTATTAAAAAATTACTGCTATTAGTGTATTTAATAGTTTATTTTAATGAACGACCAAAAGAGTTATTTTCCAATTAAAACTTCTTCAAATCCAAGGGTCTTTAAAAATATTGATAATATATGTCCAGCCTAGACAAATGCTTGTGGTATATATTTTAATGTATTTAAATACGCCCTTAATGTTCAGTTAGACATCCGATCTCTTCCATCCTCATAATGCTCTTATTAGATTTGGTCCATAACCAAAAGAAATGCCTCCATGATGCTGCAAATTAGTGGCTACCTTCTACTAAAACCAAATGAGGCACGTTGAAAGAGGAAAAGGCAAATAGAACAGACGCTAGGTGGATGGAGTGAGTAAGGCCTAAACCAAATAAGCCATACACACATTTTTTGCTGGCCAGACCGCAGTTCTTGACAGGGCCATTTCACTAATGGCCCAAGTCCCCTCCCCTCGGGCAGCTGCACCCCCTTTGGGCTATAGGTTACTGACTTGTCCGTCTAAAGAAACAGATACTCCGGCTACTTCTCGCTGTCCGAGCACGACCTTCTGGCTGTATGTAAATGCTTTTTATTTTGTTATTATTTTGTTAACGCTCTTATCGCTGGCGGTTTTTATCTTGACTGGAGGTCTCATCATCTGGCAAAAGCCTCTTTAGGCTCTGCTCTTTTTTTATTTCTTTAAAGCTTACTAAGGAACAGAACTTAGTACCTCCTGAGTATCTTTGCATATATGGAAATGGCCGGGGTTGGGTTGCCTGGTCAGGTAGCTTAGAGCCAAGTTCTCAGGTAGCTGGCCTCAGTCCATGGTTGAAAACATAAACTGAGATAATGAATTGCGAAATGTATATATCTATTAGGTAGACAATAACAATGTTACGCTCGTAGATAGCACAGAGCTAACATGAAATGTAGATAGGATTTTGGTGAACTCGTATCTCTGATATTTAGGGTAAGTCTTTACCTAAGAACGAATGGATATGATTGAAAAGATAATATATTTTTTGCTTGTACCACATTTAGTGCTTTGATTATTTGGAGTAACTTGCTCTTAGTTCCACCAAAGTTGTGCTCTTAGTTCTCATGTCACATCATCAATTCTGTTTGGCCCTTAGCCAGCAGCCCTCAAAAGCCAAGTCAAGACTGATTACCTGATACAGGCAGAGCTTTTTCCTGCCGCCGCCCTCTTGTCAACTCGTAACAAATTGTACGTAAGAGTTTTCGGGCCAAATTGCCTGCATAATTTCAGGTGGGACTCCCATCCCCCGGCCCCTGGAAAACTGCAGCCAAAATATTGGCGCAGCTTACTTGGGTGAACTATTCCTTTTTCTGCTCCGTCAATAGACGGCGCCCTTTGGTCTCCTAAATCTTGCAGGATTTTCTTGCACGAAATCGATACAAATTGCGCAAGAGGCCTGGAAATACGATTTTGGGTCAGCCCTTTTTGCAGCAAGGTAGAGAGACCAAGTCCTCAGATCGTTGAACTCGCGGCAAGAAAATAACACCTCAAGTGCCAAGTCATAATTAGTCACACTTAAAAAGGCATTGGCCCAAAGACAACGCGGCCCGTTAGTTGGCCATGCGAAATATGAGCAAAAGTGAGGCAGACACCGCAGAGCGAAGACAAAACTCGGTAACTAGAAACTGAGACTGAGACCAGTGGAAAGCCAGAAAGTGCCGAGCAGCAAAAGCTGCCGGACTATGAGATATATGTTTGACCCACACTGTGGAGGAGACCATGTCCATCTTGCAGCGGCTCGTTGCACTCGACTGCAGTTGCAAAAGGGCCCAGTTGAGGGCGCATCTGGAGCAGAAAGGTGGTTCCAGTGGGGAGACCTCGAGAAAGTAGAAATCTCTTTCATTTTTCACCATCACATTGTATGGCAATTTTTTTCATAACCGACCCTCGACAATGCTAGGACCCACTGCCACGTAAACAATTTCAATAAATTGTACATTCAATGTCAATTTATTTTCTGCTCTTTTGGCGCGCAATTCAATTTAACGGGCCACACATTCCACACGAATATGTGAAAATGTTCTGTTGGGCACAGCGTTTTTGCAACATTTTACAAACAAAAAAATCTAACAAAAAATAGAATGATAAATGAAAAATACATGTTTTTGTATTTTACATGCCCGAATGCGCAGAGAGGCCTTAGAAATGGTCAGTAAATGCGAGTGCTTCGCTGCCAAATGGTCGAGTGTCGGGGTTGAGTTTTAGATGGGCCTTGGGTGATGTATGAGTCAGTTTTTGGGATCATTCGCTTTTCGGGGAGAGAATGTGTGTAGAGGAAGATCTGCTGGCGAAATGAGAAAGTTACGATCAGGGGGGTCGTGTTTTTAACAGAAATATGACTCATGTCTTGCAATTAAGTCAGAAATGATATAATCCACTGAATTATCATTGAATCATGCATGAAAATATTGAGTATTAGTTAAACTCTACCAAATCAATGTGGTATGAATTCAATTCTGAATGATTAATGATTTAAAGGCTTAATTCTTAAAAAGTGCTCATCATTACATACTTTAAAATTAATCGAGGCTTACATATAGGAATTAGGTTGAACATTTTATGTACATAGATCAGATGTATTTTGCAACCAAATTTCAACCAAAGAGATTTGTTTGGCACCCAATTAGAAGACCGATTAAAATTTGCCTAAATTGCCCTATAGATCCTACAATAGTAAGGAAATAACCAAAAATATTTCTTGTTACCAACTTCTTTAAAATTTATTTAAAAAATAAAAAAACTTAATATGCGTAATCTGGTTCAATCCACACATATAACTAGACACAACCCCTTTCTTCAATTAGTCAGCCATAAATTTGTCCAAAAATAGAAGCAAAACACAAACTCGGTTCGAGAAAGGGGAGATTGTTGAAGAACAACAACAATAGCAGTAAACCTAGTAACCGCCGAAAGGTAAATAAATAGAAAACAGAATTTCCGTGGGGTTGGGCCAAACTGCAGCCGGGTAATTTGAGTCGTTTGGCCATTTGCTTGTTGGAATTGCCTTCGTGCACGCAATGCCCGTTGAATAAATCGTTGAATAAATCGAGAGACAAGTGAGCGACGCACACACATATATTACTCTTATCGGTGGGGAAAATAGAGCAAACCCCACCGAAAAAAACCCCTCGGATAAACTAAAAGTAAACTAAACAACAGCATTTTTGGGGGATACCAAAAAGACAGAAATAAAGAGCTGAGGAAAGACAAAAGCGTTGCAAAGACGACACGCAAGAAATGCGTAAAAATAAAAATGAGCCGAAAAAAATAATACAGAGAAAATCATTTCATTCAACCCCACCCACAAGCCATCCCAACCCACTGACAACCCCTCGTTGTTTTCATTCATAAAGGCGAAAAAGAGAGGAAAACTTTAGCGGAAAATATGCTCCACAATAAAATATACAAATAAATGGCCGGGCTTAATGCAAATAAAAGGGGGATGGGCTGGTTGGGAGGCTGTGTAGCTTTGATAGGCTCTTCGAAATGGGTGGAAGGGGGTGGTTCTGGGTGGTGGGGGTGGTGGGGCAGCTGCTGTCAGCTACGCGAGGGAATTTTCCAGTCAAGGCAGAAAAACCAAATGGCACACAGAAGTGCAATTTTCGTCGGCGAATTGGGGTAAAAGGGGAGCAAATCACAAATGCAAAAAGGAAATGCCAATGGAAAAATGTTTTTCCTGCTGCGAATTGGCGGACGGGGGGAAAAGACGCTGTCTTAAAGCTTTATTTTTGGGTTACATTTCTCGGTCTGAACAATTGCATTTAATATTTTGTGGCTTCTGCGTTTATTGGGTCTGTCGGAACGTTTTGAAGTTCCGTTCTTGTTTTTTTGTTTTTTTTACATATCTCAATTTGGTTTCCCTCTCCGGCGTGTAAAGTGATATATCACAATTAAGCAGCTACACAGTGACCCACTAAATTCAACAGCAGCAACAAACAGCACACTGGGAAAAAATTTAATATGGTTTTTTAAGAGGAACAACAGAACTTTTTAAAAACGTAAAGGCCAAAATATGCACATACATTTTGCGGTAGGAATTTTATTTTCCAGTGCACAACAGCTGCAACACTTTTTCTCCATTTTCTTAATGCATTTTGATAGATTGCATTAAGTGCGTGGAGATGGCATAATGTAGAGCAACTTTTAAATTGATTGCATTTGGGGACTGAACGGGGTGTTGTGGGTGGGAAAAGAAATGTAAGTGTGAAAGGGCTGACCTCGACCGAAGATCACGAAAATTTGTTAAACAACAAATGATTCAATTTGTTCGAGTCTACCACTTTTTACATTTTATATCACATTCGGAAAAGGCATTGAGAAACATATGGCAAACTTTCATTCTGTCTATATTACCAGCAGTTGCTTTTTTCATAAATTTTAAGTAAACAAATTTAAGAAAACTGTTTACACAGCTATTGAGAAATAAATTAAATAAAAAGAGAGGGGTTTTAAAGAACAATACCCTTGTTCCAAATATATTTGGGAAATATTTAGTTTCTTAAAGAGAAAGAAGAATACTGCTTCAATCTCACATCAAAACAAGTAAAATTCATAATTTCCTATTTGTTTTCATTTTAGTTTAAGCTTTTAGAAAGCCAGATTGTTATAAATTATTTTGGAACTAATTAGACATATATGTACATGAAGGTATCTTAGATCTTGAAAAAGATTTGGCACACTTCTGCAGACTTTTATAGCGCAGTTATTAGCTTTAACAACTTGTAGAGCACATTAATTTCCTTGTTTTTCATCCATTACGATGAGTTAGAACTGCATTTTGAGCGGAATTTCCCAGATCATCCACCTCGCTCTGACAGTTACTTCCATGGTCGAAAGCTTCTGGGATCACGCTTTCCCAGCTTCCTCATTTTTTGCGACGACAGCAATTTGGGAGCAGGAGAAATGTTTCTTAGGAAATCTGTCGAGACAATGGCAACTGCATACGATTTGCATATTACATCAACATGTTGCATGCCGGCACAGTCAAGATTGCAGTTTGTTGCAACGAAATGTTGCATATGCAATTGAGTTAAGCGCCCTGCACTCGCCTCCTTTGCCACGCCCCTCCCCCTCAAGTTAAACGAGGCGTGGCAACGAGATGCACCCAAAGATGATGATGATGACGATGATGTGGAAGACACAGCCGCATTGCAATCAGTTTTTGCTTTTGTTTTCGCTGCATTTTTCTGTGGCAAGTCGAATGCGTGAGTCGGGCGAGCATTTGTTTCCCAAGTTTCTGTAACTTTGTGGGGGGCTACATGCACTTGCCTCACTTAAAGCCTGTCTTCGCTTTAAATATTCACAAACGAGCGCAGAAATAAGCAATATATGCTTAGGCCTCTGGGCGCCACGCCCCCTTCGCCCCTTCGGAACAAAAAAATTATTCATTGCTCTTTGTGTATAATTTCTTTATAATTGCCATTTCCCGTTTTAATGAATTGTTTATACTATAAAGAGAAATATACAACGAGAACTGCAATAAAGACAGGGGTCATGGCAACAGTACAATGCAAACGTTCATGTGCCCCCGAATGGGGCAACCTAAAACGGAGACCCAAACCCTATCGCAGATACGGACACACGCAGATACACTGAAAAAAATAGTATAGATAAAAAATATACATGTGTATTGAGAAATATTTTAGCCGGTCTTGGGATAAATGTATTACTTAAAAAAATAATTATTATGATTGCCACATTTTTGATATAAAAATACTTCAATTTCTGTACTTATAAAGATATAATATTAACTATAGCAATATATTATAATTAATCCATACAGTTAAAATAAAATAAATGTTAATTATGGATAAATAATGAAAAATGTTCTTAAAGACATAAATCCTCTATTCAGATATTATTTAAATACAAAAATGTAAATTTTTTTAAAAAGCAGATTATTTTTGAAATAATTTGAAATATCTTTTGTAGTAAACTCAGAATAAATGTTGTCATAAAAAGCTTATTACAATTTTTTTTCGGTATATTCACAAATACAAACTGAGGGGCAATCGTGGGCTGACCATTTCCATTGCTTCCGTTCTCCACTTGTTATGGTTGCTGTTGCACTTTACTCAATTTTTTGGGGGTAGGTTGCTGCAACTGTTTGCATGACAAACGGAAATTGTTTTCATTTGATTAGTGCGGGTTGCGTGGAAGGTGTGTGTTGTGTGTGTGCCACATGAGGGGGTTTTTTTTTTTTTTGAAAGAAGGGGATGTTGGATACCAGTGGTACGACCCCCTAACCATAACCGCATTCTGCTACAAGGGCACGAACTCTTAATGCATTTGCCGACCGCTTTGGGGCTTCCAGCGTAAATTGCGTTGATCAAGATAATGACCACGATGATGACGATGATGATGTGTATGTGGATGAAGGTGTGTTGTCCAGCCTAGACTTTGTTTTTTACGAGCTTTTAATGGTATAATAGGACCAAGGAGTGCTGCACTCACACATCATTAAGGCGAGTCGTGTGGGGCGGTATTTTATGGCTGTTTGTGGATAACAGTCATTCATCATGGTAGTTACACTCTAGTTACCTATATTTCAGCTTTAAAGCGAAAGGTTTCCTGATAAATAAATCTTTTTTTGCTGTAATATTGCTAAAGTATTATTTCACATACAAAAACCAATTGTAAAACCTCTGCAATGAATTTATGTTTTCCCCAAATGCATAATTTAAAGTTTTACTACTCCCCATCCATTTGAGAGTGACTCATTTAAATGGATCGATTACTTCAACCCTATTAATAGTTCACCTACCTCAACAAATGTGCTCATAAATTTTCTTAGGAATTTTATTTCTTGTTCGGCTCTCTTGGAGCAAATTAGTCAACCCTATCTGGGAGAATAGATTTATTTTTGTCGTAAGCTTATCAATCGATGGCGTTTAGTTTAACGTTCCTCGACTCTTATCGGTGAATTCTAAATTCTTTAAAACACAGCGCCGGCAATGAGCCGCCAACCAATGGCCAGAAGTTGACATCATACCCCGGGTATGTGTATGTAGTGTGTACTTACACCCGCTGCAAAATGAAAATGAAACACAACCAAGGCAAATAGAATTAATATTGGTAGCGCGTTTGGCTTCGTATGACATCATAGTTGGGGGAGTGTGTAAGGGAGGCAATCATTGTGGAGTGGAAAGGGGGGTGCTGAGTGCTAAGTGGGTGTAAAGTGCGTGTGGCTCTTCCATAACTTACTCTCTATGCTAAAAACATATACCTATGTCATGGGTTAATTATGAAATAATTTTTTATATACATATATGTAAAGGGAATTTCTACCTTGAAATTTTAATCTGGAAAAATAATATTTCAAGCAAGAAATAAATCTAAAATACAATTTTATATTATGAAAATTAATGATGTGGTTAATTTTAGCCATAAGTATAAAATCTTAAAAAATGCACACAAATAATATTCCTGAAATATACAAATTTCTCAATTGGAAAAAACATAATTTATTTAATTTTAGAAATTCCAAACCAATTTAAGTCTCGTTTTACCAAATACAACTTTTATTGCTTACATAAACTATATCAAAAACTATATATTTTAGTTTTTCTCTATTGGAAAATTGGCAGCAATTTAATTGACAATAAAATTCCCATTTATTTCTGTTTTTTTCGTTCCCACACAAAACTCGAAACCTCTCTCTTACATAACCGCAAACAAAAATATACCGAAAAATATTTACTCAACCCCGCCCCTTGTTTCTACCTTTTCCCACTACAAAAACAACACAACAACTACTCCCCTCGATAAATGAAAAACCCCCCCGCACCCCGTTGAACAACGATCGGGAAAACGCAAAACAATTTAGAAAGAAACGGCGCCCTGGCATCAGATGTGGACGCATATGAAACGCCTCTCGCACGCCTCCAAAGTCAATTCCACGAGCAGTCTGACCGCCCAGAAAACCGATGTGGGCGTGGGCCATCATCCGAACATGACACCCAGTGCAACAACAACGGCCACAACAACAACAACAGCGAACTCCTCCACACCCGGGAAATGCATTCTATTCCCGGATAAGACGTCCTCGCTGAAAAGCTCTATGTATACGCAACAGGTGTACTTCAGGCCCGATATGGTACGAACTTTAGCTAATTTTGTAGAGTTTATTGGCATGGTTTTGGATTGACTCTTGGTTTTGGTTCTTGGCTACCACAAAACAGTAGACATTGCTGAAAATTCGCTTTAAGTTTGTTTGCCCTTGGCACTTTCCACCAATCTCCTGTATCTATTTAAGCCCTAATTTACGTTAATTTCATTTTTCGCTAATGGTTTTATGGATCTTTGACTTTGGTTTCGTTACACAATAGCTTAAGCGTTTCGTTTCTCTAGTAAAAAAAAATATTTAAACCTGATTTCAAATCCTATGGGGAATTTTTAATGCATCCAAAACACTTCAACGTTCAGCGTTGCATTAAGCGCAGCGTTGAGCAGAACAAATATATGAATGCAATAATCATAATCATAATAATAATAATAATCTTCATAAACCAACGACATAGCAAAATGTCAGCAGAAAAGGGACAAGTGCACCACAAAATCAGTAAGCATAACTTTATGGTGCATGCAAAGTTAAGCATTATGGGGGTTGGCCATGAATATGCGGCATTATGCAAGGGTACTACAGTGGAGATCAAATATAGTAAATGATATTATACGACATGCAATTTTATAGTGCACATAATATTTTTTCAACAAAGTCTCTGGCAATCTTTTTTATAAGCTGTTTAAAAAAGATTAAAATTTAAGTCTTAGACAAACAAATATTATACAATCTTCAGCATAAGTTTTAGAAGGTCTTTGATAAGCTATCTGTTAATAAAACTGCTACATAGTTTTTACTGTGCACCACATGACTACAATCTCCTACTCCATCTACATATAAAAAGCTCCAAACATTTCCAACCCCTCAGTTCAACCCCCACTTTTTATACGCACTGCACTTGTTTTACTATACTTATTTTACTATGCAATATAAAAGTATTTTCATGCTGTGCCAGCAGCACCACAACAAATTTAGTTTGACATTTTGCATGGCATTTTGTGAAACTTTAGGAAATGGCTTACAGAAAATATTTACAAGCCTTTACAGCGGACAGCTATTTAATGTCAGCTACGTGCCGCTGTCATAAGCTTTAAGATAAATCAGCTCAGGGTCAGAAGTATCTTTGGTCGGTGGAAACATAAACAACGCTCTCAACGAGAAATGATGCCAAGAATCTGGGGAGGGGGCAGCTGAAAAGCGTGAAGGTGTAGGCAAAGGTCGGCATATGCAAATTGCATTTTAGGATCTCTCAGTGGTTCTTGTCATTTGTGGTTCATTGTTCAGCAGCTGACATTTAGGTGGAAAGAGCAGGGGGCGGCAAACAAAGGAAAACCGGCTAAAGTTAAAACCATACCGGCCGCTTTTTTTCGAAATAAAAAAAAAACCTGTACAACTCTGTTTTTTATACCAGCTACGCGAAGAGTAAAAGTATGTTCGTTGGAAAGTACGAAAGAGCTAGATTTAGGTATTAATCTGGTAGATTCTAGAAAAGCAAGTTAAATAGAAAAAATTTTTAGAGACATTCTAAAGAAATTTTTTAAGGTGGTTTATATTTATATAATTTATAGCATCGAACAAATATTTCAGAAGTTATAAAGACATTTAGTTTAACTTGTTCAATGAAGTTAAAGCTAGCATACATTTCAATGGTATGGGCATATTTGTTTTAAAATTGGTAAACAGAGTAACGGGTACATGATAGTCGTGACAGTCGCTTTTTGTTTTTGTTCAATATCAAGACACATTCGAAGCTTCATTAACATAATTGATGCGCCATTGGACGGCTCTGCGGCTGCGAGTCTTCGAGCCATTATATTGTCTTCATGGCTTGGGGCAGAGCGAATCGTTGGACAGGTTTTCCGGCGCATGCGCACCGTCGAACCGGTTTCCGATGGATGGCCAGTTACAACCCAACGATCAACGATCCACCATCCCCAACTTGAAGCTCTCATCTCCAATTCTGCCTGCGCGATCCGCACTGTAATTTTCAATTTCATTTCGAGATCTTCGCTTGACGTTTCTGCCTTTTTGGCCGCCAGCGAAATCGAGAATAACATCTTGCTGTCCAGCTTTAAGCCAACTTAATGGAGAGTCAAACGCCGAGAACTGCGGAAAAACACACACATTCGGCATCACAAGTGGTGGAAAACGCTTGAGTTGTCGAGTGGTTGGTTAGAGAGCTGCTGTTTATCTAAGTGGAGTGAATAGGGGGAAATTATGATTGATAAGTGAATGTAGGCCCGGCGAATGGCAATCGATAGCTCAACTAGGCGGTCCAAGTGGGTCATTTAAATGGGTGTGATGTCAGAAGAACTCTACGCTTCCGTAGTGATGAAATAATAAAGAAATCCTTCTTGAACCCAATGTTTTACTAGCAATAAAAGTTAAAAATGTTCCACCATAACAGATCCTATCTTCGATTTAGAATCCAGACACGCAACTGTTGTAATTATAATTTTGCCAACGGCCGGCAGACTATTATTTATATTCGCCACTAAAAAAGGAGAAAAAAACCCAACTCCACATGGCTATTAATTATGGCATCTGCTGTTTGATATGCGGGCAGCTGCTGAAAGTTAATGAAATTTTGCGGTTCGGGCATTTGACTTACATAAAATGGCTAAGCGATATCAATCAAATTGCCCTCTTTTTATGTTATTACATGATTCGATTTATAGAGCAGAGGAAAAGCCTTAAGGAGGCAGGGAACGGGGAAACAAAAAGCCTCCAAGGCAAACAGGTTTACCCCAGGCACACTCGACCGCAGGAAGATAAATGGCAGCCAAAGGAAAGGGAAGGGAAAAGGAGACGAGACGGAGGATAATATCCCCATAATGCAGTCGCGGCATCAGCACAATCTATATCGAGGCAATTTATATTGGAGTGGCAAAGGAGTGCAGTAAAAAGCGAGGGACTCGGCGATGCGACATAAAATCAAATTCAATTCAAAGCCATTTTCTCTGTGGCAGCTCGAAAATCATATTTGATATACCCATATATGTATGTATGGCCGCTGGCGGTTCACTTTACAGATATGCCACATATAAATCAGCACTAAAATCCAGCTCCGTCGAGTGGAAGTGGAATTTTTAAAAACACATTGGCCGAGGAAAATAAGGGAATAGGAATGGAAAGCCGAAATCCAGCTCGGCAATCTGACAGCTGCCTTTGGATAGAGAACAATGGATTGGACATGGCTATTGATATTGGCACTGGGCACTGGACACTGGCTATTTCCACTTGATTCCTTCTGCCATTTTTTTCCCTTTTTATACCCTTGCAGAGGGTATTATAATTTTGGTCAGAAGTTTGTAACGCAGTGAAGGAGACGTTTCCGACCCCATAAAGTATATATATTCTTGATCAGGATCAATAGGGGAGTCGATATAGCCATGTCCGTCTGTCCGTCTGTCCGTCTGTCCGTCTGTCCGTCTGTCCGTCTGTCCGTCTGTTTCAATACCGTTTGTGAGCTCAGTTTAAAAGCTAGCGATCTGAAACTTTCACACGCGTCCTAAAACATGTGTACGCAGATCAAGTTTGAAAATCGCCCCGATCGGACGTCTATATCCTATAGCTCCCATAGGAACAATCGGATATATCTAGCAAAAATTGATGATATTTCGCGCAGTGTAAAAGCTATTGACATGAATTTTTCCAAATCGTATTTTTTTATGCATACCTTGATCAGGGTAAAAGCGCGTGGCAATCGGACGTCTATATCCTATAGCTCCCATAGGAAAAATAGGGTAAAATCGGTCCAAATTTTATGTTTTTCAGAATATTTCGCGCTGTGTAAAAGCTATTGCTATAAATTTTTTCAAATCGTATTTTTTTATACATTCCTTCATCAAGGTGAAAGCGCGTGCTGATCGGACGTCTATATCCTATAGCTCCCATAGGAACAATCGGATATAACTTTCAAGAATGGAAGATATTTTGTGCAGTGTAAAAGCTATTAACATAAATCTTTCCAAATCTTATTTTTTTATGCATACCTTGATCAGGGTAAAAGCGCTTGGCGATCGGACGTCTATATCCTACAGCTCCCATAGGAACAATAGGGTGAAATCGGTTAAAATTTAATGATTTTTAGGATATTTCGCACAGTATATAAGCAATTGACATGAATCTTTCCAAATCGTATTTTTTTATGCATGCCTTGATTATGATAAAAGCACGTGACGATCGGACGTCTATATCCTACAGCTCCCATAGGAACAACAGGGTGAAATCGGTCCAAATTTGATGATTTTCTGAATTTTTCGCGTAGTGTGTAAGCTACTGACATAAATTTTTCCAAGTCTTATTTATTTACGCATATCTTGATTAGGGTAAAAGCGCTTGCCGATCGGACGTCTATTTCTTATAGCTTCCGTAGGAAAAATAGTTAAAGGCTGCGAAAGTATCCCTTTTTTTCTATTTTTATATGACATTTTTGCAGTATAAAAGCAATTGACATTAAACGATGAAAATCTAGTTTATTTATGTATACCTTATTCCTTTGGCTACTTTTTCAGTTTTAGCAATTTCGGCAAAGTCTGCAAGGGTATTAAAACTTCGGCTTGCCGAAGTTAGCTTCCGTCCTCGTTCCATTTGCTGCTGCACCTCTGTTGACCCGAGTGCAATTGTCCCCGGGAATCGAACTCAGGCCACAGACCTGCTTTTGTTGCATTTCGGCCATGACATCGGAATGTTTTACTTTTTCCCTGCGACATGTGACATTCGGACAGGAGAAGAGGAGTTGATTCGGCCACAGCTCAACTGATATTAATTCTGTTTACCTTGATGACTTCAGTTGGCGGGAAAAATGCATTGAAAGTGGGGACTGGCCCCAGCCACATGTTTCTCGCTTGTAAATATTTAATTGAAATCGATATGGGGCGCCGGAGAACAAAGTAGTTTGCCTGGGGGAACAACAACTGCTGAATACGGGATGATGACGAAATTCTAGTTAACTCCGGACCCCAACTATTTGGTCAAATTTAATTTGCGGCTCTACTGCAAATGCACTTCAAAGCGGCACCTTTCAAGCC